TTTACATGAAAACTGTGTTTTCTAAGCCTTTATGGCAGTATTATTTACCTTTGCTTGTGTGCCTTCTTAATAAAAAGGCTGCTCACTTTAGCAACTCCCAGTTGGATGACCTGGTTCTACATCCCCAAAGCCTAGAATTTGCAAGAGTTGGACACCACAGTAATAGATTAAAGTTAAATTATATTTAACACCTTTCTATTTCTTTCACATGAATGGAAAACCAAGAGATCCAGAAAAAAAAGCTTCATAGACAAGAAAAAGATAGCAAAAATAATCTGTGGTTTGCAGTATTCAGGGAGATGTGAGTCTTTATTAAAAGGAAATCTTATATGCCTTAAGAATTATTTTTGGCTCTAATTTTAAAGCACATTAATGACTGCAAATGACTGTTACAATTGTAACATGGCATTTTTTGTGGCACCTCCATGCATTCGATATTATTTATAACTATTGTGTCACTGGGAAAGTTGAGAATATTGCATTTATTTTACTGTCTTAAATTTTGCATCCTAGGTTTTTTCACAAAAAAGAAAAAAAAAGGGAACAAAGGGAAAATAGCTTTGAACATGTATTCAAATGAAAGATAGTATCTATAAAAAAGATCATCTTGAAATAAGCCAGTAGACCTCCCAGGAATGTTCTATTACAAATATTGTCACAGTTGGAATGAATACCTCCTGCAGCCTAAGCCTGCTACCATAACTGGTCTTACTCTATTACAAGGCATCCCAAAGGGGAAAAAAAAAAGGAATAAAAAGTAGCGACATTTTAACAACGTGCGATGACTCTTAAGGGCTGTCCTCATTGACTATGACACAAACATCTAATGTTCCTAGTGTCACTTTCTACAATCAGCACTTTAGTACGTGCAGTAATTTTTTTTTTTTTTTTTTAAGGACATCCTATTTCACTAGATCTTTTGTAAGGGCTTTTTAGAACTGGTTGCACAGAAGCTGCCAAGACCCACATTTGCCAGTTCTTTGAACAGTTAAGCCTTCTCTCAAGTGACCTCTCTGGTCGCAGTTAGGCCACCAGCCCTACACTCTGTTCCTTTTCTTTTAGCATGCTTATAAACAAGAGTAACTGCAAGTGTGTGTCTACAAAGAAGAAAAGCCATACAAGGTTTGATCAAGAACCAATCTGTGCCTTTACAACTGCCTACAAACATTCAACTTGTGACAGACCTCACACTACATTCGAATATCTGGAGTGCCCCTATGGATCTCTGAGGCAAAAAGTGATGAAATGCCCCTGCAGGCATTTGCAGGTCTGACAGAAACACTGGCCTGTTATGAAGATTTAGAACAGACGTGTACAAAAAAGAGTCACTGGATTTTTAAGCAACTGTTAGGAAAAGTAATTACTACTTTCTGACATAACCAGTGGGAAGACAGAATTTAGGAGCTTTGCTTTTCTCAGAAAACTTTTTGCTTGAGCCTAAGAGACACTAAATTCCATTAAACTTCATGTTTCTAACAGAAATATACTGTTAAATGTGTTTAATTATAACAGGACTGATTTTGCTGGCCTTGGCCATGTGGCACCATGGCAGGGGCCATGACTGACCCTGTTCCCCCATCCTGGGCTCTGGCACTGGAGAGTGGTGCTGCAGAGTGAAGCCACCCTCGGTGCTCCCCAAACCAACCCCTACCCCACAGCCTGCTGCTCCACGAGACTCTGTTCGAAACACAGAGACCCCCAGCCCTTCCTAAGGTGTCTTCTGCAGAAAATGACTAGAAGAAGCTGAATATGCTGTGTCCTTTGCAGGGGAGCTCCTTTGCAGCTTTGATCCCAAGGAGATGCTGGCTGGCAGACAGAGCTCTGCTCCCACCCTCCGTGGGCAACAGGAAGGTGTTGACAGTTTGTGCTCATCACCAGGCTGGAGCAGAGAGCCTCTTCCCGGTTCCTAGTATGGGCTTGATTTGTAGAGGCTTGCTCTAAAATTATAGTAATTTTAAGGAAAGGTTTAGACCAAGGCTGTAGGAAGCACAACTGATGAAATATTGTATCTGTGAAATAAAGTGGGGATTTTGAGAACTAGTTTCCAGATTAAGATGTCTAATTTCAGCCTCAGACACAAATACAACTTGCAGTTATCACTACAAGCATCACCTATATGTTTTGAGGTGACAACTGCTACAGAAAAATAAAATTCTACAATCACAATATGATTTTGTGAAATACATTGTGAAATTTCTTCTTTTTCTTTAATTCATAGCACATATCACTGCTATAGCTATGTCAATTATCCCAGTCCTTTATTGCTGTTCTTAGCAACTTGTCCAGGCCATGATTAGCCATTATGGCTTGCTGAGATGCACATAGCACAGCACAGTACTAATGTTCCAGCTGTGAATGGGAAATCAGGGATGGATTTTTCCTTACTGCATGCAGGTAGTAATTAAAGCAACCAGAGATTTTCTTCATTGGATTCTCCCATGGCTCCCTGAAGTTCCACTCCCAAACTTTATTAAAATACAATCTGTGCAATGCTTTTCTGTGAGAGGTATAAAGTCCCCTTGAGAACAATTGCTTGTGAAGTGATGGGCTTTTGTTGTGCTTTAAAGTAGTTTTAATATTTCTGTATATACAAGAACACACGTCACTGTACACATGCAAGTACTTTGTTTGCAGTTTGGGTTTTATCAGCCTGTGCTAACATAAACATACCCTTGACAGTTATGTGACTATGTAGATACAGTATCATAACATTTTAAGACATCAAAGATGAATTCTCACTATTAGAGGGGGTTTGGGGTTCTGTTATGTGCACCAAGAAATGTTTACCAGAAGGAAAGGGAAACAGAATGCTCAGGTTTATTTAAGAAAATGTAATTAATATTGCTGCTCATTTTCAGCTCTTACTTTACAACTCATGCTTCATGTTTTCTACATAAAATCTCCTCTTGGTATATTTGTGACTTTTCTCAACACTGCAGACTAAAAGTTCAGTTCAGTACCAGCTAGGCTTGCCTTCTATCAATTTTTTCTATGACAAGAACATGTGCACATGTGTTTCCTGCTCGAAGTGAGATTCATATTTACAGGATATGGAAAGTTAGCATGACAAAAGTAATGACTGTGTAGGAAACTCACTTTCATTAGCCGGCATCCTATTTATTCCACTGCCACCTCCCATGATATGTCACATGCCATTTCAGACACCAGAGTTCTTTTAGTGAAAACTTCCTGCACAGAAAATGGAAACTTTGACAAAAAAAACAAAAAAAAACAAAAAAAAAACCCCCCCACCAAAAAAAAAAAAAAAAAAAAAAAACAAAAACACACCACCGAAAAAACCACAAGCTGAGTTTACCCTGGGAAAAAAATTTATCAACGAGATCTTTCCTCAGATCTACCCACCCAGCTTGCTGAGCCCACTGATCACATATGAACTTGATCACAGAGGATTATGAAGAATTATTGGGTGTCATTAAAAAAGCCCACTTATTCTTTTAAACCCACTGCATTCTACTCACTGAGAGGACTTGCTGTCTCCAAAATACTTTTTACTAAACCTTTTAATTATGACTTAAGATGGATTTTTCTGGCAGTGGCTGAGGAAGGATTCCTGGACAAAGGAGTAACATCCAGCGACATTGGACAATGATTCTCAGCAGCTATCTATAGGATTACTGTGGGATAAAGAAGGACAGCAGTAAGTCTGCATTAATAAAACCTCATAAAATGGACCCAGAGGCACAATCACTGTGTTGGAGACACCACATTCAAGCCAGAGGCTGGGTTCATAACAACGGGGGAACTGGAGAGCTCACAGTTACTCTGCCCACAGATGGGCACCCCAAGAACTGGAAATTTAAGGGAAATAATTTTCCATGCACTTAACTCTTCTACATGTCCTCTGCACTAAAAAACTGGGCTCAATGTGATTGCAACTCAAAGCACTGAAATTAATATAAAACCAGGAGAAATTCCCATGAATTGGTGCAAATTGGTGCTTTTACTTTTTAAAAAAATATTTTTAGGGTTTCTAGAAAACAATAAGAAAATAACTACTAATTTAGTGCTGCGAGAAGTGGCAAGCTTTGCATCTTTGTTTTAAAAATGAAAGTTTTGGATACTGATTTCACCCCAGAATCACCTGCAACCATTTTTTACAAAGGCTATAATACTGAAATTTAAAAGGATGTAATTTACCCACGTGATAAATTATATCTTGTGAAGCAAGATTTGACCATAAGTCAGCTCATATGAATGACTGAATTTAGACTAATGGAATAATATTCTTCTCTGCTCTGTGATGCATGAATTTAATTTTGCACAGTGGTACAGATCACTGAAAATGACCATTTCCAGGGTTATGGAGGAACTTGCCCCAATTAAAAACCATTGAGTGCACCTGAATTTAGGAACAAAAAGGCTGAGAATCAGCATAAAGATGTGAAGTTCTAGCTTCGGGGGTGGGGGGAAAAAGTGTGAATGGTTCACTAGTTACTAAAATAGATTGAGTGTTACAACAGCAAGAGCTTGTAGACGTTACTTGTGTAATAAAAATATGGATGGCAGCAAATTATATTGCTGTGAAGAACAGATGAGGAAAGACGCCTACTGAAACCTGATGCTGCCTTTGAACTTTAAAATTTTGACTTAATAAGCTTTGCAGTGGCGCTGCTTAGCAAAGAGCTGTCACGAAGGGCAGATTTGTTTCACAGCAGAATTGCTTTATTAAAAATCCTCAGCATTTCCATAAAGTCCTGATTCAGAAACAGAAGGAGGAGTTACACTGAACTTGACTGCTGACCTGACAGTGAGAATGAAGCTATTGTGCCCGGGACTGAATATGCATATCTGTGCTTCTCCCTGAGCTTCACAGGGCAGTTCCCCTCCAAGGGAGAGGAACCCTTTAGAGATCTGAAAGCTGCTACTGCCAGATGCTGAAACCCTGGAACAGACCCTAAACTCTGTAGGTTTCATGGCCATTAATAGGTTAAAATACAACTTTTAACCTTCTCTTTTTTTTTTCCCTCTGTTTGCTGTAGGGTAATCAATGGACTGCAAGCCATGTGCAGCAGCGTGGCCCATGGTGTCATCTTTGTGCTATTCAGCAAACTGCAAGCGAGATGTGTTCAATTAATAGTGAAGATTGTCAGGGAAGCAGAGCTGGAAACGCTTATTTGGTACTGCATGAATTGAACCTGCTTGTTTGAATAAAATACTAATTACCTCACTGACTCTTTTGCATTAAGCCTTCTGTTTATGCTGTGCTTTACTTGGTGGGAAGGAGTTGGTACAATTCAGCACAAAATGTGATACAAACTAATGCTTAGGAAGGAAAAAAACTCTAATGGCACATTAAGTGTTGTCAATTGCATGGCTTTCTCTATTATTGCTGAGCTTTCAGGATAAAGAAAATACCATCTGTAATCATGGCTGCACAAATAGAACACACACAGAAAGGAAATTCATTCCCTCATCTTGAACCTCAGAAAAAAGCAAGGCTCTTTTCTGCTCTGCATGTGTTACTAGGAAGACTAGCATGCAACTAAATCACTTTTTCCCCCGGATTTTAACAGAATTTCAAACTCTGTGATGCAGATAGATCTGCTTGTGATTTGATCTGGTGATCATGACAAGAAAAGCTATTTTACTTGACTTCTTCTATGCCATCCGTGAGACATAGAGGCTGTCTTCTCTAGGAAATTTTTAAGTCCTTTTTCAATTTTCATCGTAACGGAAGCTGTGGTGCAGTTAAGCATTTACTTGTTAAGGCTGCATTGAAACAGAGCTCTTGGTTCTAACAGATCCTTCTAAAAGGGATACCAGCAGAAGTAACAACTTATTTTAAGCAAAGACATGCAGAAAATACACTGGAAGACTTAAAGAATATGCTTCATTCCATTTTTATGTTTCATTTGTTTTATGCAAAATCAATTGTTCCATAATTCAGGGCCCAGTTGCTCCTCTAACAACTGTATGAACAGAACTTTTGTCATAGGAGAAATAGTTTTCTATTGTCACCTATTAATGAGCTAGAAAAGACTTTACATAACCTGTTGTCTGAAAAATACTTTATTTTGCAATGAAGTGACAAACTGAAATCACTCTATAAGTAGAACTACAGGATGTCTATTTAGGACCATTGCAAGAAGCAGTGCCAATGCAATGAGACCCTCTGTGTTCTTGTCAGCAGTGGTGAGAAGCTCCTCTCCCTAGAATGAAAGCTCAAAGCAACATCATCATGGAAGATGGCTTTGTGGGCTTTGGCTCTCCAAAGATAAAACAGGGAGGGGGATGAGATTAGGAAAGGTGATGTTATTGGGTAAACAGAAGAAAGTGAGATGGCAAAAGATATTTATTTCTTAATCATAGCATTTGATGGGAAAAATGAGGCAAAGATTTACTATCTGTTGCTTATCTCTACTAGGTGGGAACTAATAGTAGCTCTCTAAGGCCTTTGAGAAGTTATCAATAAGACCCATCCCTTCTGCAGCCCTGGAAGGCCAAGTTATATGGAGCCCTGAGCAACATGGCTTTGTGGAATTAGATGATTTTTAAGGTCCCTTCCAACCCAAACCACTCTGTGATTGATTCTAAGAGAGGGACAGCCTCTCCTGGGTGGTGCATGGCAAGTGGAGGAGTTTCAACACATGTATGCTGAAAACAGAAGTTCAGACTGGTTGTAAGGCAGTGTCCTGAACACAAGGACAGTCACAAGCAGAACAGCTTTCACACAGAGGCTGTGCACTTTACTTCCTTGAGGGTTTTCAAGATCCAACAGGATAAACATCAGAGCAACATGGTCTGAGTAAACCCTACTTGGAACAGGATGCTGGGCTAGAAGCTGAGGTCCCTTCCAACAGGAATTATTTTATGATCCTGTGAGCCTATGATTTTCCACTTTTTTGTGGACACAGGTCTTTTTCAACACATAAATGAACCTTCCATTTATCCTTGTCATTGACTCAGAATTAATTAGTGTTCATTATAAACATCTGTTTGACTGCTGACTATTGACTTTCCGTAATTACTGTATTTACCTTCCAGTTTGGTGATATTTTATTTCATTTACACATAGATTCAATGCTTGTAAGAAGATATGTAAGGTTATTTAGAGAACACAGAAGAGCATGTTCAGCTTTTCTAGTTCAGATGCCAGAAAAGGCCAAAATACTTTACTAAAAATAAGGATATTTACTTTTTTTTTAATAGTTTTAACATCGTCTAGCCAAAGGATAGTATATGAGCTATAATAATTCTAATAAGACAGAAAAATAATTCTAATAAGACAGAAAAAAGAAAAAAGAATAATGCCCTTTTGGGAAGTGAGGAAAGCATTATCTCAATGTTCCTAACACATCTATTGCTGTGCTGTTTGTATTACATGCTAGAAAAATTATAGTCTAGGCTTGGAATGTCTAAATTGTAGAGGGATTAAATTGTTTTCATGTTGGCATCATCTCAAATGGAATCTAACAGTACTGATATACATATATTTTCTTTGAATTTTTGCACTCCTTTTTAAAGAGGTGGCATTCTTGATTCTTCAGATTTTAGGTGAAAAAAAATAATTATAAGAATGTGAAGATTTTTTTGGTAAAATGACGCGTAAGACAGTTTTAAACTTATCTTCCTTGTTCTCAGATAAATAAAAAAAAAATTAAAAAAAAGAGAGAGGCCAGTCTCCTACTGGTTTGCATGTAGTATATATGTTCTACATTTTGTGAAACATGAACAAAGAGAGAAAAGGGCCCTGTAGAAAAGAACTCACTAGATTTATACCAAGTGATTTTTATACATCCTGATACAGGAAATAACAGACAAATCCAAGTGACTTTGACAAAAGCTATAGCATGTGCTTTAAGTTATTTGCTATAGGAGAAGAGCCAAATAATTGTAGGCGAGCTCAGTTTTTTAAGTTCCTTGAGTTTGCTGGGCACTAAGCAGATGCCTGCTCCAGGAACAATCAGCCCATCTCTCTCCACACTGTGCTGGCGGCTGTCACATCTACTCATATCTTCTTCTAGAGCTGACAGGGTGAGCACATCTTACTATGGTTCAGTCAAAATGGAGTGACCCAGGAGAGAACTACTTTAATCTAACCTGCCCCATTGTGACTATGATAGCAAATTACCCCCACAAATCTTTGGGAACAATAAACAGAGGCAAGCTGTGAGTGGTGATGTGGTGGTACCAATACAATGGAACTGAGAAGACGACATCCATTCACAGCTTAATGCCCCTGCAAAGGAGGGCCTGGATCCTGCAAATCCTTTATAAATAGCTTATGCAAGACAGGGTATTAGATCATATATATCATATGTATTCTTTAAACAATGGTGCTGCAGACATATAGCATTTGCTAAAAACAGTATTTAGAGCTGTAAAATTAAGATTTTAGGAATTAGGAAATATCAGAATCAAGACTTTCATGTACATTTCCCATATTCCAGCTGGGCATCTACCCTTCTTTCTGGCTGAAAAGCAGAGGCTTGGGGAATTGGTTTATAAACAATGGGCATTCATGCATATGGATTTTGCAAAAGTTGGATCCACTGATATAATATGGGAAATTCAAAGCCTGGATTTTCCTATTACAAAAGACAGGAATCTAATTTAGCAACCCAACTGTCATTTCAAAACACTTGTGTAATTTCCTATAGCAACTGCTCATCACTTCATACATCTTCAAATTGGAGTCCTGGCCTTTTAAATTACCTACAAAGATTTCAGCTCATTTGAAGTTTGGTGACTGCCATGTAGCAATGGAGCAAAATTAGAAAGTTGAAATCTCCAGTTCCATCAGCTCTGTACTCCTCTCCTTTGAAAGAGCCTGATGTACTCAAGGAAATCTCTACTGCTTATTTCCTGAAGCATATTCTGAATATTGTGTTGGTCAGTAACTATATGAATGTAAATTGAAAGAAGGGTCCTAGGACACCTGAAGAGTTCAGTGTCTCAGGAGTTGCTTCAGAAACAGTTCTCTTGCTGTATGTACATTTAACTCCAACACAAGCACAGGAAAACTGACTGAGGACCATTTCAGTTGTCTAGCTTGAATTTATTCTGGGCATAACTTAGTCCTACTGGTCAGCTGAGGAAAATAATTTTAGGAGCAGAACAACAATAGCTATCATATTCACTGTAGAGTTGTGGTTCAGCTTACCAGCCATGCTGCTAGAAAAAGCTTCATTTATTGTTGTTGCTTTGAAAGAAACCACACATGCCTGGCTGTTCAGAGTATTCAGACTCTGTGATTTTGATCCAGGCTGAGAGCTCTTGAGGACCACTAATTTAAAAAAGTAGGAAAGAATAATCAACTTTTATAAATAGTTCTGCATTTATAAGGTATTATACATGGTACATTTCTAAAAACAAGATTTGTCCCTGATGAACTCCATAGATCTTACCAAAAATTTTTAAAAATTGTTTTGTAATACTGTAATATACCAAAGATATGGAGTTTTCTGTAAGCTACCTTCTATAGCAAATGTAAAAAAAAATTACTGACACATAATCACCAAAATCAGAAGACAGCACTCTGAAAAATGTCCTTTCAATGACATTCACACATGATATAACATACATATATATATATATACAGTGCTTCAACTTCATATTATTGTAGATGCTGTGTTAGCTTCTCAAGATTTCGAGTCAGCATTCCTAGGTGTGGGAATGAGGGGAGCCTTTTCTCCTCAGCTTGTCTCCATAAGTTGTATGAGAGTTTGGTGAAAAATACAGGATTTTCAGCACAGAAAATAACAGAGAAGAAGCAGAGCTGTGGTTTGGGATAATCATGATGGCATGTGACTCAGGTGGGGTTGCTGCTTGCTTTCATGTTTGAGTAAAAAAATATGTGAATCATAGCAGGCACACATTTAAGCTGGATAAATACACTGAAGAAAATGTCTAACAGATTATATTTTTCAAAAATCAAACTCACATAAATTCCTAATCATCTATCTATAGCTCAGAACGATGGAAGTTATCCATCTTGTATTCTCATGATTCCTGCAGTATTGGTTACCTCATTTGCATAAAATGAATAGAATAAATTGTTACGAATCCAAAAATATACGGTTGCCAGGATACATCTTGCTCGATGCAAATGAAAATGGGTTTATGCCGGCCAATTTGGAGCAGTTTGGAACTTAGGCATTTTCTTATTAACATTAATAGTGATAAATGAAATATTACATACCCAGTGAGCTATTGAAATTATCAATATTT